TTTATAATGTTTATCATTATAATATCATATATTACTTTTATATTATACAAGCTTTTATGTGATTCAATTTGTTATTCTCAAATATTATGTCTTCTGTAAAGTCTTTTTGCATATTTATATTACTTCTTTAATTACTATTTTTAATTATTTTCTTAGTCTTTTTATAAGATTTTCTATTTAATTCATTAATTATCTGATTTTTTGATCTTCTGTTTGGTTTTAATTATATTCCTTTTTTTGATAACTAATTTATCTTAATTATTTCTTACTAAAATTTATATATCTTATATAACCTTTCTTTTTAGTTTGTAATTTATTCATGTATTCTTCTTTCTTTAAATAAAATAAATATTTTTTCTTTTATCACATGATTTTACTTGTAATTTTTATTATATTTTGTTGATCATTATCATACATATTGTTGAATCATAAATTAAGAAATTGTTAATTCTACAATGTGAAAACAAATATTGTAACTTTATTTTTAATTACATATCATATTTTTTGATTTAGGTAATAGAATTGAAGGTGAGAGAAATTAGCCTATAGTATAATAAATATTTGTTATATTATGAGATAATGTTGATTCTTTATATTATATAATATTTGATGTCAATTGATCTAAAGTAATAAAAAAAAGATGCAATATTTTTTCAGAAACTAATTTATTGATATATTGTTTTAAGGTATTATTAATTAATATATAAATATTAAAAAATATTTTACTAAGATTTTATAAATTCTAAAGTATTTTTAAAGTCTACCAATATTTTTTCTTCTATTACTTTATTTTTTTCTTCTTCTTTTTCCTCTTCTTTATTCATTATTTAATATTTTATTATCTAATAAACTATTAATATTATCATCACTTTCTAATCTTTTTATATAGTAGTTTACATTAAAGATAACATTCTTTTTATAGAATTCAAAATAATATTACAAGTATTATTTTGTTCTGCAAAACATTTGTGATGAAAAGTATATTTATATATCAGTATTACTCTTTCTTTTTTATCTAAACATTTAAATTATTAATTATATTAATTTAATATCTATTAATTTTTTTAACCTAAATTAAACAATATTTCGAATTATTTATATCATAATCTTTAACTTTAGATAGACTATTATTAGTATTTATTTACTAATAACTATTATAAAATTTAAATTTATTTAATAAATACTTTATTTTAATTAATTAAAGAATTTTTTTAAAAAAAAAACTGATAATTTTATTTTTTACAAATAAAAAATTAGAATTTGATAAATTATATGCAGATCAATTTCATATTAATCAAAATCAATTTTTATTGTGATATTTCAAAAATATTTCAAATAATAAAATCACAAAAAATTAAATGTCTATAATACTTTAACAACATCTTCTTTCATATCATTAAAACCATTTTCACTTTCACGTAATATGCATAATTTGTCATACTATATCATGCTTTTCTGATTTTATTTTTACTATATATTTTAGGAACTTAAAAATTTTTCACCACTAAAAAATTTTGTTTCACATTCCTTAAATATCATCAGTTACATAAAGGTTAAAATTTACTTATAAGCTTTAGGATAATACTGGAATAAATTTAGCTAGCATAACATTTTTTTTTTTGCATTTTTAAATTTAATATAGTAATGTATCTTAAACTTTATTGACATAACAAGTAAATAAAACAATTAAATACCAGAAGTTTTTGCTATATAAAAGATACTATCTTTGAGTAATAACTGGGATTAAACTAAAGTTTAGAACTGGTTAATTATCTGATTAAGATGTTTATCTTGTTAATCAATTAAAGATTTTTTTTAACTGGTTAAAATATCTAATATTAATACTGATCAAAATTTAATTTCAGGTTGAATTAAAATTTTTTTGTGATTATAAAATTTGCTAATTTTACCTAAAATTATAATATTAGTCTGAGTTAAATTTAATCAGTTAATTAATCAGTTAAAGAATTTTTTAACTGATTATTAATTAGTTAAGGATTTTTAAGCCAGTTCTAATCTTTAGATTAAACTGAACACTGTCTAATAATTTCATCAAGCCAAATATTTTTTTTAACAAAATTTCATCACTGCTAAAAAATGAGCAATAACTACAATTCTATGTGTTTTAGTATAATGGTCATGCTTAATTTTATCATATTTTACAGATCATTTTGCTAATCTTTTGCTGATTATTTTTCATTTTATCTAAAATTTTATATATAGATAAATGTTATTATAATGAATTATAATATTAATTTTTATCAAAATTGAATTAATATTGGATATCTTTTACTCAAAAAAAACTGATTGCAATATTAATATAATTTATATAAACTATTCAAAAAGTTGACTCAAAGTCATCTTTTATGTTATTTAAATTTTATTGTCATACTTTTATATTATATTCTATATAATCTAAAATGTGAAATATAATTGTTGATCATGCATTTGTGACTTTACCTAAACTATATATAAAGTTAAAATATATCATTTCAAATATTCAAATGATCGAAATGGTTAAAATCATTTTGATTATTAGAGGTTAAAGTCACAAAATAGTTGAAATAATATCATATTACATGATTTTCATATTGAGAAAAAATAAAAAATAAAAATATACAATCTCGGTCAATACCACTCTGATTCATATAAAATAACTACCATTTAATTCAATTTCTTACAACTAAATAGATCTAATGAGCTAACATTTATTAATTTTGGATTATCCAATCGCAAGATAATCACAATTGTATTATCAACCAAAATTATAAATTAATAAATTCTACTTTAAATAAAAAAGTCTGAATTTTGAAATTTGATTACGAATATTTCAAGATTGGCTGAATGAATGTTAGCTTATTAGATCCATCTAATCACAAGAAATCAAATGTTTTTATTGATGTAATACTATCATAAATTTATTAAAATTTATATAGTATTACAGAATTAGAAAATAAAGTAAAAATAAAAAGCTAAACTATGACTATATCATATGATTTTATTACTAAAAAAAAATAGCTAAAACCGTTTAGATTGACTAATCATTGGAATTCCCTTTTAACAAAACCAAAAAATTCATATTTGATGATCAAATTATTACAAAAAAATTCAAATAAGATTATCAATACCTATTCATAAAATCTAATCAAGAATTACTAAACTTTAAGGCAAAAGTAAACCAAGATATTCAAGTTGTTGAGTATAGATTCAATTTATTAAGTAAAGATCTGATAACAAATACATCAGATTGATAGTGAGGCTTATATTTTTTCTTTTTCTTTTTCTTTAATTTTTTAAGTCTAGTAGTAATATCAAGAGATCTTTCTTTATCAATCATTTTATTATACTAGAGAATCTATAAATTATCATAGAAGAGTTGAATAAGATGATTTGTAGTTGAGCATAATATTTAGAAGGTATTCGATGGTAAAAATAATGATCGCAATAAATAAAAGAGTTCAGCAGAAATTAGTTCTTTGAATAATAGACTGAAAGAATTAAAATTTGAATAAAGGTTAAAGTAATAATGAATTCTAGATTGTATGTACAGTCAAACTTTGATATAGCGAACCCTTGATATAGCGAATTTTTAAATCAAATATATTAAAATTACCTTTACTATAGTGAACTAGCCAATTAAATTCTTTAAAAAATTCGTTATAAGCTTATAACGAAGTTGATATCCAGATCCTAGAATTCGTTATATCAAGAGTTCACTGTATGGATTTGAAGAGAGAAAGATACTCTTTATTTTTTCCTAATTTATCTATAATAAGTTGATTCAAAAAGTTACATAAGAATAATTAGAGATCAGCAATAATAGTGTAGTTTAATGTAGAATCACAAATGATTAAAGATCTTCATCAGTTGTATTATAAGTGACATAACGCCAATTAGTATATAAGTCTAATCATTAAATAAGAGGAATCAAATGATAGTTATTTAATACAAATCAAAGTGGTATTGATTGAGATCATACATTTATTTTTTTATAATTTTTTATATATGAAAAGTCATGTGATATAACATCATTTCAACCATTTTGACTTTCATTTTGACTTTGATCTTCAAAGTCGAAACATTTTGACTTTTGGGTTTTTATTTTGATTTCATGTATAATCCAAACCATTGAAATCTATTTATAATATTATATGATTTATATATGAAATATTCAAAAAAATTGATTTAAAATTTTATTGTCATACTTTTATATTCTACATAACCTAAAATGAGAAATATAATAGTTGACATAATTAGACCATAAATTTGTGGTTTTGCCTAAAACTTTGAAGTCTAAAATAATTAATTTAATATGTAATTTACTTGATTAATTAATTCAGTCCAAAGCTAATTTATGCATAACATCTATTTACTATTTCAGAATCTTATTATTCATAATCTAAAATATCATATTTATTGGTTGCTGATTTTATATAATGTGATAATTCGGTTATATATGATCGACAAAATGATCGACATGGTGATATAAGCATGTCAGCATGTCCGCTATGCTTGCTTTAGCCCATATGTAATTTATTTATATATTAATTTATATTACCCCTATTTAAATATAAGTAACCACGTGATTTTACATCACTTGATACTGCATAATGACAAATTATCTCAATAATCTATAATCTATCTTTCTATCTGTCATTTTGCCATACTCAAACTTCCAAGCTTTCTGTGGCTCAATTTTATTCACTCAACACTCGTGTCTGTCATTAGTATTGCTTGTTCACTGGCACAGGATTTGTTGGCATAGTATTCGTCAAATTTGGATTACTGTTAGTATTATTTTGAACTTGGTTAGCATTATTAGGGCAATTTCTCTTTATATGACCATCATCTCAATCCCCGTTCTCTCAACAGTTTCTGCATTTTATAAATTTATATACGTTATCATTGTAGGACTTCAAATATTCTTTTGCAAAAATTAACATTTGGATATATTTAACAAATTTAAAGCCTTTGAACTCAATTTATTTATTACCTTTAGGATGTCTGAGATTCGTCGGAAACTTGTAATCGTCGGGGATGGTGCTTGTGGAAAGACCTGTCTTTTAATTGTTTTCTCCAAGGGTACCTTTCCTGAAGTATGTTTTTTACAAAGTTTACCTATCTGGAGAAGTGCTGTTAGTTAACATAACCCATAGGAGGAGGGAATTTTCTTATAAAGCAATTTTTCAACGCAAGTTAATTTGTAGTGACTGAGAAATTTCCACAATTTGTCTGTAATTATCATTATTTCACTGGTATCAATATGTAACGCTTCAGAATAAATATGAAAGTAACATAAATATTGCAGCTAAAAGACGATGGTCAATTAAAGTTTTTGGCAGTATGAGTACTTTTAGGCGTCATCAGTATTAAACTAATTGATAAAAATTAAATATTCTATATTACTTACTATAGTTAAATATTTACGAAGTTAACAAAGAAAATATTTTCATAATTTTAACTTTTATTTTAAATGTACAACAGGTCTACGTTCCTACCGTATTTGAAAATTACGTTGCAGACGTAGAAGTAGATGGCAAACACGTTGAATTGGCATTATGGGACACAGCTGGTAATATTAAATTGGTGGTTTATTTATCCATTCGTGATATATTTACTAATAAGAATATTTATTAATAGGTCAGGAAGATTATGACCGTCTTCGACCACTTTCTTATCCAGATTCTCATGTAATTTTGATTTGCTTTGCTGTCGACTCTCCTGATTCTTTGGATAATGTACAAGAGAAGGTAAATGAAGGGTTAAATCATTTGACTCCATTTGCTTTTTTAAGGAACAAATTTTGTTTAGATTGTGTATTGGAAGATTTTGATTTGGGAAATTCTAAGATAGTGTATTAGATTTATATATTTTATCCTCTTATAATTTATAGTGGATTTCAGAGGTAATGCATTTCTGCCAAGGATTACCCATCATTTTAGTTGGGTGTAAGAAAGACTTACGGTTCGATTCTAAAACAATTGAGGAGTTACGTAAGACTTCTCAAAGACCAGTGACACCGGAAGAGGTAATTATTTATCGATGACTAAAATTTTATTGGATTTCTTCATTTTCATCTAATCTCGCTATATTAAACTAATGACATCAATAAGGGAATGGGCGTTGCAACGAAAATCGGCGCATACAAATATTTGGAATGTTCAGCAAAAACAGGTGAGGGCGTCCGTGAGGTATTCGAACATGCCACACGGGCGGCTCTTTTGGCAAAGAAAAAACCAAAAAAGCACAATTTATGTTCAACCTTGTAAAGAAAAAACAAACGAGAGACCTTTAGTAATCCAAATAAACAAGTTTAAAAAATAAAACGAGGACAAAAAAAAATTTTTTAGTAATTTTTGTTTTTAATCCTGTTCTATTTTTATTACCCTCTCTTTTCTACTTAATATATGTATTTTTTTTTTTATTTCTTTTATTTTTTTTTATTTTATATTGGGACTAAATTATATGATCTAGTTATTATTCATTTTTTTAGTTTCTGATGTGAATTGATAAATTAGTTCATTATATATATATATTTTTTTAAATGTACCTTACAAATCGAATCGTAAGATAAGAACGAACTCAATACTTTCGCTCATTATCTGTAATTTTATCTGTTAAAAAATTCAAAAAAAAAAATATTTCATTGTTACAATGAATGATTATCAGAAATTTGGTATGTGAACCATTCAATTAATTAGTGTATCGGTACACAATACGATTAAATGAAACCTAAATATTATGTTATTCCTTATTTATAAACTATAAATTTGTTCTGATTATGTAATCATAATTTTTTAAATTCCTTGATTATATATAAAAAAAAGAAATTTAGTATTAATTTTATCTAATGGAAAATCTAATGTTTTAAAAAAACAAGATAACTTAAATTTTAAGAAAGATGTTATTAATACTAAAAATTTTTAATTTAAATTTTATTAAATTTAAAATTATATAAAATTATATAATTATATTATTAAATATTTTTAAGATTTAAAAATCAAAATCAAATAGAAGTATTATATTACTGAAAATGTATATAATAAGAATATTTAAGGTTTTATATATTGTATATAGAAGCTAAACTATTAATGTAAATATTTTTAAATCCTGATCACATCAAATTATGTAGAAAATATTAAACAGGAAAATTATTTAGTTTAAATAAAAAATAATCACTTATGATTTAACTTTGATTAATCCTTGGTTTAATTTGATGTTCAATATTATAATTTAATACTTTTTAATTCTATATTTAGTTATATAGATTTTATTTAATATAGAACTGTATTTGCTAATCAAATTGTTAAGCTTTTATAATATTTTATCACATGTTTATTATATGCTGATCATTATCTATAAATCTTACTAAAGATAGGCACCATAATTAAGAAGTTGCAACTTGGTAAGTTGTAACTCCTTGTAAATTTATTTTAATATAAAAATTCATAAATAGTTGCAACTAGTTAAAAATTTTAAAAATAATTATGGGAACTATCTTTAAATCTTATTACATATAAGAGGTTTGCTATTAAAATTCATATTCAGATCGTATGATTTACTATATCTTATAATTTGATTTAAATAGCAAATAACTTATATGATTTTATTAGATAATTTTGTTTAATTATTTTTCTCACAAAAATTTTTTTAAAATTTTTCAACTCTTAATTTAAAATTCTAAATTTATAATAGAAATAATATTAAACTCTATTTAATAAATTATGTTATGCTAATAATTTTTATAATAATAATGTTTTTTTTATATTTTTGCTAATAAATATTATATTATTTATTTATAAAATAATTTATAAAAAATTTAAACTTTAAAAGAAGTATTATTAATACTAATGTCAATATTAATATTCTTATATTATTAATAATATTAAAATTATCACTAACATTACCAATACTAATAAGACTGATAAATCTTTACCATATGGGAGGTTTGCTAGGAAAATGAGGTTCTGAGCTTTTTTTATTAAAATTTTAATTTTTATTGCATTTTAATTTTTGATAATGTTAGATTAAAATGCAATAAAA